AAAAAAGGTGACATAAATGCTAGTTTTTGAATAACTCGCTTTTTTTGGCAATCTTGATTTGGCCTCTTTCCGTTTGTTTATTACTGTTTGTTTGTGGTGCAAGCCTTAAAATACACCGGAAACAGTAACTCAGAAGTATAAGATGCTTGCAGCGCTCCCTAGTGTCGAAAACATTATCCATATATAAATCAGCTCAGCACTCAGCAAAACATTTATCTGTAGTTATGATTTTTACCGGATGTATATTTGAAAGTTTTCCTCTTAACAATGAAGAGAGATTTGAATATGCATTACTCAACATTTTGACGAAAGAAATGATCTATTTGAAAGTACTTAATAATGACACAGGAAGACGATCAAGTTTAGACAGCATTCCAAACAATGCCATTATTTTCGTGGATGGAAGAAATCAACTCACACTCTTTCAAAAACTCTTTGGTTCATGTGATTCCATCAAATTAAAATGTTTAAATTCCTCAAGAATATCCCAATGCTATGGATCATCTGATTCCGACTATATCTAAAGTTCAAAAGTTTTATTCAAAAAGATACGTTCAACATGGTGCAAGATATTTAGGAAAAATGATTGAACCTACTGAGCTCCGAAATTGCAATCACAATGATATTAACACTTGTCCAAGCCTTTTCCAACTGTCTATGGCTGCAGTTTCCGATTCTATTGAAAAATATGATCACTTAAATGACTTAAAAGTACCAAAATGCTTTGTGCCCGAGTTAAAATATAAATTTGTTCTAAGAAAAACGAAACCTCAACTGAGACCCATAAACTTTTTAATAGCGGCCATTTTGGAAAGCAAAATTTTAAAAAAATACAAAGGAATAGACTTTATTAATCCGAACATGAGTTGCGTTTTGAAAGACATGAAAAAGCAACTGAAAAATTACAAGAGATATGTTTTTCAGAGACGTGCTGGAAACCAGAGTATGAAATTTAGAATTTTTACTAAAGGTATTATTAAAGTGTTTGGTGATGGTTTGATTGGAAACAGACATTTTAAAACTATTTTGAAAAATATACAAGGACGTTATAAAGGGATTGATGTTGATAATTCGCATTTGAAAAACGTTAAAGAATATACACGAAATGGATTAGAATCTCGTAATCTCAGTGACATAGCATGCGGTTCTTCATATATAATTGAATTTCATCTAGATATTAGAAAATCTTGGAATAAACGCAAGATTATAGTGTGCTTAGAGAAGAATGGAAAACTTATAGTTTATCCGACTTCAATCATTTGTATGGATAACTTTATATCCATAGATGACGAAAAGTCAGACTTTTTTTTTGACCTCTCATATGATAAACATCATGATGAGAATTATGAAGTCAGACTTATTTTTTGACATTTGATAAGAATTATACACCATATTGATTTAATATATTACGTAATATTATTGATTTTGACATATGTGTTAATAAAGCTGTTTTGTCTATCGCATGATGTACCCAATTTGTCTTATTTCCTTCATGCAGCTTACAGTTTATAAAATGCCCAAAATATTTCACCAAAAATCTTAAAATATTTCACCAAAAAAATCTTAAAATATTTCACCAAAAAAATTTTAAAATCAAAGTGTAAGATTTGGAATTTTTCAAAGTTAGAAAATTAAACTCATTTGTTTAAAAAAAATTCTTGAATATGCATTCAAATGTTCAAACTTTAACTTTCTGTTTATTTGTAGTTAAAAATTAGTATTTTAAACTTTTGTCATTATTTTAAATAGTTATTTAAGTAATATATTTAGAGCTGGAACATCTTATTGAGCTCTCTCCCAGTAGCCGTTCCGTGAGTAAATGTAGAGGGAGTCTGCTAAGCAGTTTTTTTTTTTTTTTTTTTAACACAACCAACAGGTTTTTTTAATTCGGCGGTAATTATGACTTTTACTGGATATATAGTGAAAAGTTTTTACGATATGAATAAATTTGAACACGACGAGTATATTCACGACAATGAAACAGTACTGGATAACGAGTTTGATAAATTTGAGCTGGCATTACTCAATATTTTAACAAGAGAAATGAAATATTTTGAAGTATTGAATAATCCAACAGGAAGGCAGTATAGCTTAGAACGCATTCCAAACAATGCCATTATATTTGACGATGGAATAAATCAACTTTCGCTCTTTCAAAAACTCTTAGGTTCCTGCAATTCCATCAAATTAAAATTTTTAGAATCCATTGATCTTCAGGAATACCCCGATAGCCTAGTACCACTGATTCCACCTACATTTCACATGTTTCGTTTAAAAGAACATGTTCAATACAGTGTGATATATTTGGCAAAAATGATTGAACCGACAGAGCTCAGAAATTGCAAAGTATATCCCAATAATATTAAAATTTGTCCAAGCCTTTTCGAATTGTGTAAATCAGCAGTTTCCGACTCTATTAAATGTTATGATTATTTAAATGATCTGCATTTACCAAAGTTGTTTGAAGACGAATTAAAATATAAATTCATTCAACGAAAAACGAAACCTATGCTAAGACCAATAAACTTTTTAATGGCTAAAATTTTGGATATTAAATTTCTGAAAGAGTACCAAGGAATAGATTTCATTAATCCGGACATGAACTGCGCCTTGAAAGACATGAAAAAGCAGCTGAAAAATTACAAACGATATATTTTTCAGAATCGCATTGGAAATCAGCGTCTAGAATTTAAAATTTTATTGACTAAGGGAATTTGTAATTTCCTAGAAGGTGATTATTTGGTCGGAAACAGACATTTTAGAGCTATTTTACAAAGCGTACAAGGAACTTTTAAAAGTATAAATGTTAATTTGAAGCATTTGAAAAGCGTTAAAACATGTATTCTCGATAGATCCAATTCAAAACATATAGTAGAATTTTATCTAGATATGGGTCATTCTCACGAAAACTGTCATTTTTCAGTTCATAAAATCCCAAAAAAGTAAAGTGATTATAAAGCTCTGAAACTTTTTATATTAATAGAAATATGTAATGGCATTATAAAGAAAGTATATATCCTATAATTTAAAAAATTACATAAGTTTAAAAACCTAATTCTAAATTATTCTCCTAGTTAATGTAGATTTTATTTAATGAAGATAAAAAAAATTTATGAAGAGATAAATTTACTATATAGCAATTTACAACTTCCAGATATAAGTAAGTTAAAATAATTTTCTTATGAAACTATAAGGCATAAATTAGTTCAGCCAAGTCTTTAAATGAGGCTGCTTTCAAGTGGAGAACATGTTTTGTAAATAGTATCCTAATGTTTTCATACATTTTAAAGATTAATTTCAATTTACATAAATTACACAAATGATTTCTGGTACATTATTATGATAAACGTCTAACAGATAAATTACATGACATTAAAAAGAATCTAGATTCAAAAGTTTTATGCAAAAGAATACAAAGAATTACTTTAAACACATTGAGTTACTGCAAATAATGAGATGTCCACCTTGGCCACACACTGCACAGGAATCCTAAAATATTTGGTACAAAAATTAAGTAAGCAATAATACAATGATTTAAAAAAAAATTACATTTCTAGTAGCTATCTCAAATTTTGATGTATATGCAAAGTCAATGCTCAATATAAAGACACATACATTGCAGGTGCACAAAAAACCATAAACATTTATTCAAATCTAAAAAATATTGACTAATTTTAACAAAGTAAGGTTTAAATAGAATTATTTGANTTCTTATTTCAGAAACAATTTTTTTCTTTTTTTAAATCAGCAGTGGGGACAAGTGAGGGAATGACATATTGGTATATTTTAATTACCTAAAATAAATAAAAAATAAAAATTGATAATTTTATTTTTATTCTTTTGTTAGCTTGCATTCTGAAGGACACTTTCCCTGAAAATTTTTTTTCGTAAGTTGTAAAACAAACATAAAATATACTGGGGACATGAAAATGACTGTTTTTGTGAGAATGACCCATATACGAAAATGTTGGAACAAACGCAAAATTATAGTCTGTTTACAATATGATGGAACACTTGTGGTTTATCCAACATCAATCATTTGTGTGGACAACATAATGCCAAAATTATTTCTACCAAAATGTTTTAATATCTTTTGTGACTTACATCATGATGTGGATCATTATTAAAAAGTTGTCTTTTTTTCTTTAAAAGTTTTTTTTCTTTGAAATTAAGATTTAAAATTATATATATTTTTTATTTTTTTAATAAAAAGTTATTATTTTAATTTCAAATTTGTTTTATACAAAATATAACAAAAAAACTGATTTCAATAAATTTATTAAACATAATTTAAACATATTATTTTTGATATAAACATAATTTAAACACAATATTTTTGATATAAACATAATTTAAACATAATATTTTTGATATAAACATAATTTAAACACAATATTTTTGACAATATAATGTAAACAAAGAAATTTGAATAAAAAAGTACGTCACAAAATTAATTCAAACGAAAACGGAACGCGAATTTACTCGAGGAAAAATTTCACGACAATGATGTCGAAATGGAAGAGGTTAAACCAAAAACCGACAATTATTACCGAGAGTACCTCGAATTGTTAGCCACGTACAATACCTTAAAAAGACACTATCAACGTTTGAAGAAACAATGTGAAACGAATATAAGGGCAGTACAAATGGAATTTGATATTTACAAAAATAGCTCCGAAGCAAGAAAATCTATGCAAGAGTTGAAACTTTACACAGACTATTTGAATCTCCATCGCGAATACACTATGTTAAGAATAAAATTTAACGAGTCTGCTCTGTTTGAACATAACGAAGTGGACCAAATCATGAATGAATATGAAGAACTCAAACAAGATTACGTGAACCTCCATAAACAATACCATGATTGCATTGAGCAATCGAAAAAGCAAGTTATTAAGAAAGAAGAGGAAATTGAAGCATTTAGGCAAGAATTTGTAGCATACAAAATTACACAGGAAGAGATTCAACGAGAAAAACTAAAATATCAAAGTGAAGCATGCAAATTGGCGGATGTTGTCAAACGAGCTATAGAACAACAGTACAAAGGACGAAGAAAGAGAAAAATTTCTGAAGGGAGTGAAGAACTTGAATTAAAACGACCTCATGAGGAAAGCTTGGTAAAAAAAGAGGACTGTTAAATAGGAATTTAACATTTAGTGTAATAACTCTTGCTAATAATATTATCACACTTTTGCACAAGAACTCACAAATCTTTTCTCACATATTTCAAAGACATTCTAGTTTCAGTTTGTAAACAAAACAACATGGAAAGCAGTGTCTGAAGAAAGCAAATCTTTCGGGATGCACTCATCTCTTATTGGGCAATGGAACGGCAGCGGAGCCAATCAGATGAAGGAATGAGACTCTTGGAATTCCGCTAAAGATGAGGCGATTAAGTGTAAGGCTGATAAGCCGAAGACAAAATATAAAAACTTTTCGTTTATGTTGGCATCAGTCTGATTTTCATCCTTGCCGCGGGCTTTGAAACAAAAAAAGAGTTGGTGGTTGGTCTTCGTGAGGCGAGGGGGCTTCGGCCCCTTAGCAAAAGAAAAGTGTGAGAGTGTGCAGCTCCAGTATTAGGGAGTGAATTTTTTTAGAGAATGGGAAGAATCTCTTCTCATCTCAAAATTTTTTTCTAAATTCTTTGCTGTTTTAGCAATCTAATATTTCATTGCCAGAATGGATATACGATGGCAAATTATTTTCGTGTTTTGAAATCATAAAATTGATGTAAAATTTCAGTACTTAAAGTACTTGTCTATTATAGCCAAGAAAATAAAAATGTTTTGTAAGTATATTCTGATTCTATTCTCCTTGATGTTTCTGTTCTGATTAGTTATTTGATTTGATCTTATTCTAAAAATCTTTTTTTTATTCTAGAGAATTGAGCGTTTCAAATGTTTTGTACTAACCCTATGATCTTAATTTATTTCGCAGCACGTGTTACCATCACTATAAATGATTTTATAGCATAAAATTTAAGAGTAGTTTTTGATTGCAGCTTTATTCTCATTTTACAGTTTCTATGCTTGAGTTTTAAATTTATCTTTTATTCTCAATTTTATACACGTGCTGATTACTGATTAATTTTTCGGCCAGTCAGTCTTGATCTTAAATTTTAATATTTAAATTTAATCATTAAGTATTATATATAAATGGTTAAATAAAATAGATAATATTTAATTATGCAATGCCATAATAAGGCAACCACCATGTTATATGTTCACCGTGTTATAAGGACAATGTGGAAAGCTTGGTAAAAAAAGAGGACAATGTGGAAGAAGAAGAGGACAACATGGAAATATTGGTAAAAGAAGAGGACAATTTGGAAGAAGAACATTTTTATGGTAACATCAAAAATAGTAATATACAATATGAAAATACACAGTTGATTTATTTGTGCAAGTGCTTATACATAAAATATTTTGAATTGTATTACAAACATATGCTACAAAAATATATGAGTGACCAAGAGCATGTTACAGAGATAAAAAAAGATGTGACTCGATTAAAAGAATTTGTAGAAGATTTGAAAAACAAACAAAATCTTGGGAAATTGACACAGCTGTTAATGAGTTATATTACAACAGAAATGACTACCTTTTTAGGTGAAAATATTAATCAAAGTGAACATTTGACTTTGTCTTCAAAGTGTCTTTTAAAATGTATGAAAAACACCCGAGAGCATTATGAGTTACAGACAAATTAGTAACAAAAGACAAAACGGTAACAAGAAACAAAACGGTAATTATTGTTGTACAGAATTTTATTACGAATATTATTATAAAAAGTTGTCTATAAACTGTTCAAAACTCATCACATCCAACTTGTGTTTGAAAATAATAGGACCTACTAATTTAGCATTGGGATATTTCTTTAGCAAATCATTTTTTAAAAGTCGTATACATATCTTAAAACGACAATATTTGTTTTAGAATTTTGCTCTATGATATTCGCTCGTGGAATCTCACACGCACATTGAGCTGGAAATGTTTAGAGAATAATTATCACTATCGACTCATAAGAACGTTGTTAAATAGGTATAAATATGTCCCAGAGTTTGCAAATTTTTATTCTGATATCAATGATGTGCAATTTGAAGGGTTTAATAGTGATGTTGGTGTGACCATTGATGAACAAACACAATTTAAGAAATGTACATTTGATTCTATCAATCCAGCACATTTAAAGTTTGATGAGACTATGGCTATTGTAGAATTTGAATTACACACTTGTATAGACAAAAATTCCAGAGATTTACGTTCACTATATGATACTATATATCGCGCAAAAACTGTAATTTATGTTTCAGATTTGTGTCATTAATTTTTTATTCTGTAAAACTGTTAAAATAAATATTACTTGAAAAGTCAATTTGGAGTATTTATTTTAAATTAACAACGAAAAAGACAATTTCATACAAACTATCAAAACATCTTAATACAAATTATAAAAGTATTTTCCTTAAAACACAATTTAAATAGTAGCTCCAAAGCGCCACTAGAAAGTTTATAACTTATAATCAATGCTCAAAATATTTTTTTGAACCAAGTTTTAATAGTTTATTTTCATTTTCCAATTCTACATTTTTAATATATAAATTACAAAAAAAACATTCTTTTTCTGGTTTGGGTGATATTTTTTCAGAAATCCACAATTTATCGAGTTTGACTAGAGCTAAAAGTCTTTGAAATACATCTATAAGTTTGGGTGGTTTTTTGCTAGATTCTACTTTTTCGATTCGTTCGTGAACTATTTTTACGTTTTGAAAAAATATACTTAAATGATCGTCGCGAATAACTTCCGGTAACAAATCTTCATCTACATCAATGATAGAGAATATTGCTTCTTTCAACAGCTCTCTAACCGATTTCGCGAGTGCATTGTCGGGATAGTATCTTATAAAATGCTTGAGAGATTCGACAGACTCCCAGTGAACCGGATCGACAAATAAATGTTGCGGTGTCAACACCAGAGAGAAACGATCCAGCACGGATCCGACCGATTTACATTTAATATCAAATAGTTTTAACATGTTTTGGAAAGTTTTGTTTGGAATGACCAATTCTTCCAGCTTTAAAGACAACTTGGGTATTTCTCTCTGTAGTAACTCGTCCAATGTCTTTTTATGTTCATCGGAAGCAATTTTATTTTTAGGAGTAAAAGAATTAGCTGTGATACCTTGTTCTAAACTTCCTTTACAAATGAAGGATAATTGATTATAAAAATCCTTAATTACGTAAGATTTCAACTTTAATTCCTCGGGATTTTGCTTCAAACCGTCGTAGTGACAAGCGTTGGCTTTTTCTAAATACTTTAAAATATTGTCCAGGTCGTTATTAACGATATAGTTTGATAAAAGCAATCCTCCCGTCTGAATGGTGTTTGTCACGTTAACGTATTTTTCAATGTCGAGTATCAGTCTGTGAACGTGCATGTCGGAGGGTATTTTGTATTTAAATTTTCCGAAAAGGAGAGCGTTTACAAAATTATTTAGTATGGCAAAAGACATTTTTGCTTACTTTTTTAAAGAATTAATCGTTAAATTTCGTAAAGAATTAATCGTTAAATTTCGTAAAGATTCAATTATTGATTGTATTGTTGAATTTCGTACAAAACATCCTTTTTCGCTTTCCGTATGTTTACTGAAAACTTGGGTATATCCGTGTAGTAAAAGAAAAATTTTTTAGCCTCTGTGCACAATATTAAATAAAGTATGAAATATATTAAAATTATTATAACAAACATAATCTTATTTTCGACCTGTTTTAGTTGGCAATACAACCACGACAATCTCATAACGTACGAGTGCGATAACCAAAAATGTAAAGTACTTAGACAATATACCGTTCCGTACGAAATGGATGTTGACAACCTATTTATACCACCACCCGATCCTTGCCACATTTTAGAGGCATTGGAAGGTGAAGCTACCGTTCACTTGAAAACGCCTCAAGGAATATATGTTTACGAAAGAAATAAACTGAGAACGGTTATACCAGTTGAAGATTCAGTGACAGATCAAAAGAATAGTGATTGGAGCAAAGATTTAGAGACGGATCTAAAACATAGCGGTTGGAATAAAAATTCAGTGACGGTGAATACCGGTTGGAATATACTCATCTCTCTCATAACATGTAAAATTAATATGTATTCGCATTATAAGGGTAAGCAAACCTTAATATTTTTAGTGGGTGTTGCTCTAGCTGGGTTGTTTACCTTTCTCAGTAAAGCCTATGGTGGACGTGCCTCCAACAAAGATATTTTTAAGCAAAGTGGAATTTTGGAAATGTTAGAACCATACCATGATGATATAATGGCAGACAAGGGATTTCTTATAGAGGAGGAGTGTAAAGGAAATGGAATTGGTCTGTTAAGACCAGCCTTTTTAAAAAAGGGCAAACTGAGCAAGGATGAAGCCTTGAGCTCTCGCAATATATCAAGTGCTCGTGTACATGTGGAGTGAGCCATTCACGGTCTTCACAATATTAAGTAATAATAAGTTTTTAATTTCTTACAGGACAAGATTCCGTTGGGAACTTATTCCAGAAATGGACAGCATCTTAACTATTATAGTTGCTCTGGCTAATTTAAGCACACCAATTCTTTCCGATGATAAGTTTTAAAAGTTTTATAAAAATTTTACTACTAAATTATTTGTTGTTTTTTACTTTTATAAGGCTTAATTAATGTAGATATTTCTTTATTTAAATCTGTGCCAGGAGATATTTTGAGTAATAATTGAAGTTGTGTGAAGTAATTAATTATATGTTGAATATTTATTTAGAATTATTTTGTTGTCTTAAGTAGTGATAAATAGTAATATATATACACTCCTCAAAAGTGAAATTGCAACACCAAGAAATAATGCACGTAGCGTCATGCAAATTTCAGGAGCGATAGTAGTGAGATGGATATGCAAATGATTAAATTTGCGCACGCATCTGATCACGTGGTACGCATATTCGGGCTATAAAGGCCAGCAACTTTCCCTTCTCATAAACGGCATCTGAGGTTTTGCGTAGCATTTGCGACTTTCGAAAAAGCGTAGAAAATGCCTCTGAGACGTCGGCGAGCTCAATACCATCAGTTAACGACCGGGGAACGTGACCGTATTATCGAACTCCATGAACTTGGTTTGTCGCTGCGCGCAATAGCAACTCGTGTTGGGCACAACGTGAGTACCATCCAACGTTGTGTCACACGATGGATTCAGGAAGGTCTACGTGCACGCCGAAGAGGAAGTGGTGCGCACAGGTGCACGTCAGAGCGCACAGACCGGCGTATTCGCCAGTTGACTATTCGAGACCCTTTCTCCACGGCACGTGCCATCCGAAGCCGGTTGCCTTCAGGAGCAGGTGGATCTGTGTCCACCCAAACCATACGCAACAGATTGCATGAAGTACAGTTACGTGCACGGGTACCAGCAACAGGGGTACCGTTGACCGCTTTACACAGGGCTAGACGCCTGGCGTGGTGTCAT